CCACCACCACCACCTCCCTCACCACCACCATCATCACCACCACCATCACCACCACCATCATCACTATCACCCCCATCATCACCACCACCATCACTATCACCATCATCACCACCATCACCACCACCATCGTCACCATGATCACCACCACCATCACCAGCACCATCGTCACCATGATGACCATCACCACCACCATCACCACCACCACCACCAGCACCACCATCACCACCACCATCATCACTATCACCATCATCACCACCATCACCACCACCATCGTCACCATGATCACCACCACCATCACCACCACCATCGTCACCATGATCACCATCACCACCACCACCACCATCATCACCACCACCACCATCACGCAAGCGCTGTATTCCAAGCTTCCACATTGATTCGATTTTGTTTCATGTTCCTCCTGTAGCTCTTCACATTCTGTATAACCGTTGTTGTTGTTTTGTTTTGTCAGGGGAAGTAATGAGCGTAAATTATCTAAGTTTCTTTAATCTAACTCTCATAAGAACAATAAACTAAAGATTAATGGCTAAGTTACTGCCAAAACTCGACCCCCCCTAGTCATGGAGTTTACCATGAAGACTAACTTCTTTGACGGCGGAAACCGATTTTTGGCGTTATTTCCAGGTGGAGTTTAATGACTTTAAATCATTTTGGTATTAAGCGGGAAGTTTTCTTTGGATTATATTAGATTGAGGAAGTTGCCCTGCGGCCTGATCATCTGCGTTATGGGGGGGAGGGGAAGGGGGAGGGGGAGGAGGCGAGACATGGAGAGACACCTGGATGAGAGAGCTGGGGATTGAGGGAACACGCAGATGTGTATATATGTGTGTGTGCGTGTGCGTATATGTGTGTGTGTATATATATATATATATATATATATATATATATATATATATATATATATATATACATATATTACACGCACGCACACACACACACACACACACACACACACACACACACACACACACACACACACACACACACACCACACACACACACACACACACACACACACACACACAATAGTGTGTGTGTGTGTGTAATTGTATGTAAAATTGTATGTATATCTGTGTATGTATAAACATATATAGATAGATAGACAGACAGATAGATAGATAGATAGATAGATTTATCTTTGTCCACAAATCTAGACAAGCATAAAAAAACAAGCAAATCGCCCCACACTCTAACACCCATCCCATCTCTCCCCCCCTTTCTCCCCCACCAGGACGCCCTCACCTCCACCGTCGTCCAGAACGTGAAGGGAAGCCTCGGCGGCCTGAAGCTCCAAGACTTCGAATTCCTCGGGGTCGAACAGAGGCCGAAGCACGTGGCCCTCGACGGCTCCGAGCTCCCCGATGCCTCCTGGTCCTACGACGCCGGGAAGAGGAAGCTTCTGGTGAGCGCGGAGGTCGACCTCAACACGGCCTTCACGATGGTGCTCGGGGATATCTGGCGGTATAAGGTTGATATGGAGTGATTGTGGGGGAGGGGGAGGGGGAGGGGGGGTAGAGAAAGGGAGAGAGGGGGAGGGATAGGAGAAGGGGAAGGGGAAGGGAGAGGGAGAGGGAGAGAAGGAGAGGGAGAGGGAGAGGGAGAGGGAGTGAGATAAGGAGAGGGAGAGGAAGAGTGAAAGAAGTAGAGGGAGAGTGAGATAAGGAGAGGGAGAGGGAGAGTGAAAGAAGGAGAGGAAGAGAAGGAGAGGGAGGGGAGAGAAGGAGAGGGGGAAGGAGAGTGAGAGTGAGAGTGAGAGGGAGAGTGAGAGGGAGGAGAGCTAGTGAGAGAGGGAGAGCTAGTGAGAGAGGGAGGGGAGAGAGGGAGGGAGATGAGAGAGGAAGAGAGAGAGAGAGCGAGAGAGGGAGTGAGAAAGGGAGAGGGAAGGGAGATTGACAGGGAGAGGGGGAGAGGAATTGGTGGAAGGGGAGGGATAGGAAGAAGAAGAGGAGAGAGCGAGGGTGAGAAGGAAAAGGAGAAGTAGAAGATGACAGAAGGAGAAAGGAAGAGGGAGAGATGTGGGGAGAGAAAAAGATAGAAATGGAGATAAAGATAGGAATGAAGAGAAAGTGAGTGAGTGAGTGAGTGAGTGAGAGAGAGTGAGTAAGTGAGTGAGTGGGTGAGTTGAGAAGGAAAGGGTAAGGACAGAGAAAGGGAGAGGGAGGAGGAAAGGAGAACAGGAATTGGAAATAGAAAAATGAGAATAGAGGAGGAGATAGGAGAAGTCTGAATCAAGTGAAATAAAAATTGAATACATAATGGCAGAACTAGCTGTACAAATAGCAGGGAACCTTGTTGAACATAAAATGTATGATATGTATAAACATGTTATATTATATATATATATATAGTATATATATAAATATATATATATTCATATATAATATGAATATATATATATATATATAATAAATACAAATTCTCTATCCTTGTATTATTACTGGTACCCTTACTAAGAAATCGACAAAAACATCCCCCTCTATATTTCCGGTAGACCATGTATTCCCTCTTTATTTAAAGACCCTAAATCCAGCGGCCCTGAACCGACTTCCTCGCCCTAACCCAAGGCGAACGAAGGGAGTAAATATTTAGGTTTTCCTCAAGGAAGGCCGATCACGTCACAGTGCACGCCGTCTTCGGTGTGTTGTGTGTGTGTGTGTTGTGGTGTGTGTGTGTGTGTGTGGGTGTTTGTTTTTGTGTGTCCTCCGCCGGGTATGTTTCGTGTATGTGTTGTTTTATGTGTTGGTAATTGGAGTTTTTTTTTATGTACTTTTATATTATATTTTATATACATGTTTGTTATATGTTTTCACCATTTGGGTTTTTATCGTATCTTATTACTTTTACATATTCTCTACCTGTGCTTTATTTCTGTCACTTCAATTTTACCCTTTTTATTGGTTTTAGTCTTTCAACTTTTATTGAATCTTCTTTTACGATTTAGTCAATGTATAGTAACTGAATATGCTTTACGGGTTGCTGTATCCCCTTTTTCTATGCATATAGTATGTGGTAAGTATACGTATATATGTGTATACATGTATGTACGTATGCATACATCATACTCATATATCACATACTAAGCAAATCTGTCGCGTGGGAAATTTGATTTGGTTTGATGTAGTCATTAAATTACGTCCCGAGCGAGCGACAACACTTTTCAGATAAGTACAAACGTGTCTCGCAGGGCACGTTGTGAACTCTATAACACACACATATTACTCTAATTCACCACAGAGGGATGCAGGTCCTCCTCCACGTGCGTGACGAGCCGCGGCGGCCGGCTAAAAGCCCCGCATCACGTGCACTGAAGGCCGTGGCGTTTAACAGCCTTCGTTTTTCCCTGATAATGAGTTGGGACCAAAGGCTTATGGGAGAGAGGATTGGATTGGTGTCCTAAACGAGAAGGGAAGGGGAAAGGAAGTGGGCAAAAGGAGGGAGAGAGGGATCATAGAAGTGGGGATGGTGATGAGGGTGGTGGTGTGTTCTAATTTGGGCCCAATGTTGTTACTTTTGTTTGTGTTGCCATCGTTAATGTAATGATAAATATTAATATAACAATAATGATCGTAATCATAATCATCATCTCATCATCATTATTCTATCATTCATGAGCATTGTCATTATCACCTTTACATGAATTATCGTTATCATTATCATCACCGTTACATTATCATTATCATCACCGTTATCATCATTTCATTGTTGTTTTTATTATTATTATTATCATTATAGTTTATTGTTATTATTGCTACTTTGTTATTATTATTTTTATTATTGTTATTATTCATCATCATCATCATCATCATCATCCTATCATCATCATTCCTTGCTATTATTGTCATTATCATTATAATTATTTTCAGTATCATTAATGCTCCATTTTATTTTTTTTTATAGTTATTTATGATATACTTAGTTGTAACTTCTTTGAATCCACCTGTTGGTTAAACGCAGTCTTGTCAACAGTTCTTGAAGAGTCGGAGTTACGAAATCCTCTCGACTGTAAACTTCATCTGAGTCTGTGTAACCTCCAGACAACTTCACAGTGAAGAAAGAGCTGTTAGGGAAGTGTGTTTGACAGTTCTCATGTATTTCATTAATAATAGTCGTGGTCATAGTTTTATCCTTATTGAAGGATTTAATATCATCATATTGAACAAACAGTTATCTCGTTTCTTGTAGATATATGTATATGCTATCTTCCATCATCCTGTGTACCTGCCTCGGCCACTGTCCTCTACCTTACCCTTAGGAGATATACTGTATGTGATTCTATGATCTGTCAGCCACAGGGCAGGCGGGTGAAGGGTGCACTCGGCACAGCCCGGTCCAAGCATTTACTGGCTTGGTGACTCTACTCCCCCCGCTGACCCGCAGTTTGCGAGTCCCATGGGTGGTAGTAGGTAAACTGCAGGAAAACCTTATCGTAGTTCAGAATTATAAGACTCGGAGTCTGAGGATGATTTTGCTTATTCTTAGTATCATCAGGTGAGTGTGAAGCTTTCAGAATTGATTTTTTAATAGATATTTGAAATATCCCGGACGACGACCAATAATGGTGCACGATGGGTAGCCTTCGTTCCCCGGCACCACACTGTCTCCCTGGGCGCTTGGTATAATGAATAATCCATCAGTGGGTAAGTTTCATTTTCATGAGACGATGGAGTTACTCAACGCTTGAGTAAGAGTAGCTTATAGTGGCAATAAGAATCGTTGCAATAATGAAATGAAAGCAAATGTCGCTTAATCCGTATATACCTTAGGACAAATTTTGGCCCGCTGTCCATTACAATGCTCAAATAAAGTTACATCCTGTCGTAAATTTTTAAACCCATGCTCGTTTTATGCGAATAATTTTTCTAATTCAGTCTTTCAAAATCTTTAAACTCGTATTTCTTTTTGTTTCTTATTTACGGTTAGACCCAGGTGCAGCTGCGTCCATACGAAGCGTGAAACCCAGACAGCATTACTTTGCTTGAATTTATATATTGTTCTTCATCTTTTATTGCTGGTTTTATTCATTTAAAATTTCATTTGTTTATTTATTTACATTTTCATCAACTTAATTACTCGAGCATTGGGATAGTATTATAAATGACAGGGTAAAAGAGAGAGAGAGAGAGAGAGAGAGAGAGACAGACAGAGAGAGAGATAAGAGAGGGAGAGAGAGAGATGAGAAAAAGAAGAGAGAGAGAGAGAGAGAGAGAGAGAGAGACAGACAGACAGACAGAGACAAATGAGAGAAAAAGAGAGAGGTAGATAGTAGAAATAAAAGATAGGCCAGGGAATAGTGGAGTGAGCATAGGATAATCTCTACGCGGGGTAATTGTAGAAGAATTATACGTGGCACAAAATCTGATTCACATTTAATATCGTCAGAGAAATCATATCAGGATCACGAAACATCACATAAAAAATATCTTACAAAAAGTGATATTTTTTGAGAAATGTCGCCAGATGTCGAAAGGCAGACATATACTAAATATTTTTCTTTCGATACCCAATATACAGTGTATATTTTTTCCCCCTAGCCTTGACCGACATTCTATTGGTATATATCTACTTTTCTGTCTGCCAACTAAGCTGAATATATTGCTTGTATTTATCTACTGCAGACACATATATAATTTGTACACACGACTCAGATATAGATATAGATAAACTCATTCCTTTTGATTGGATAGTTTGTTTTTTCTTTGTTCATTTTCCTTTCCTTTTCTCGCACCATTTTCTTCGAGCGCACCATTCTCGACAGGTGTCTAACCATGACATACGATCGGAAAGTCTTTTTTTCGACCTTGGTTTTCCCTTCCCCCCCACCCCCCCCTCTTTTCGCTCCACATATTCGGGTCACGCGTACTCCTCTCATCTCTCTCTCTCTCTCATGCTCTCTCTCTCTCTCTCTCTTTCTCCTCTCTCTCTCTCTCTCTCTCTCTCTCTCTCTGGCCTGTAAATTTACCGCAGAGGATCACGGAGGGTGGGAGAGGGGTGGGAAGGGTGGAGTAGGGGGTTTGGAAGGTGGGGAAGTGGGGGGGGTGGGAAGGGTGGAGAGGGGGTTATGGAAAGGTGGGGAAGTGATGAAGAGAAGGGCGTGCGGGGTCAGGGTGGAGTGGGGATGTGGGTGGGGGGAAGGAGGGTGACACTGTGCGATGGCTACAGCTGTGTTAAAAGTAAAATATGGTGCATTTGTGTAGCAGTACGGGGTTCGTCAGAATTACCTAATTTGCTTAGCTACATCTTGGGTCGCAGTTACTAGTTTTTTTGTCCTCTTAATCAAAAATCTTATACTATATCTTTGTCTCTGTAATTTCAGCCAGGTGAAGGTGACTTAAGGGAACGAATACTGCGTAGGTGTGGATCCGATTATATTATAAATATAAAAACGAACACAAAATATAAATACAAACAGAATGTAAAACACGAACAAGAATAAAATGCGAACAGAATATAAAACACAAACAAGAATGTAAAATACATAAATGA